GTTATAAAATTATAATCCAGCACTTAAAAGAAAAACTTGTGTGATTACTCACATAAGAGTAAAATGTATTCATATGCTTGTTAATACCTGTTTCTGCTTTTAAATGGTACTCTCTTGTTTGTTCTGCTTGCAAAGGAAATTCTATTATAACCTCAGAGAATTTACTGACAACATCAAGATTATGTTTAGGCTATTTTACAAAGTTATTGCTAGCTCCTCAATGGTGGAAAAACAGTTTGCAGTGTTCTTTATTCTGAAGAAAAAAGTCATAGGTGTTTCTGTAAAGCAATAGGATAGTACTGTAGAGTTACTGTACTTGGAAATGTTTTCATTGCCATCATTTGAGATTGGTTGATTCATGGGTATAAATACGATTAGGAAGACAATTTATTAGTTTAGCTCAAGCCCCATCATCCAGACTCCTGCCTTTGTCCTATTGGTTATTATCAATGATGGAATTAACTTTCCCTTTAGAGAACAGGTACCTGTTTAACCAGCAGGAAATTAACCTGCAACTTAAACAACATAGAGAAATTTGGAAGGAAAATAAGTTCATTTCTTTTCTTTTCTTTTCTTTCTTTCTTTCTTTTTTTTTTTTTTTTTTTTTTTTTTAACAGTTGTGCTCTATTGCACATGCTGGAGTGGCTCATTGCAACCTCTGCCTCCCAGGTTCAAGTGACTCTCATGCCTCAGCTTCCAGAGTGCCTTGGACTACAGGCAAGCACCACAACATACAGATGATTTTTGTGTTTTTGGTAGAGATGGGGTTTCACCACGTTGTCCCAGCTAGTCTTGAATTCCTGACTTCAGGTGATCCACCCACCTTAGCCTCCCAAAGTGCTGGAATTATGGGTGTAAGCCACTGCACGCAGCCAATTTCTTACTGAAGTTAGAATTTAAGATCATGTACTACTTTGATATTCAAAGTGCAATCTACATACCAGCAATCAGCATTGCCCAGGAAAAACGCAGAGTGCCAGGCCCCATCCCACAACTCTGATTCAGAATTTGCATTTTAATAAGATCCCAGAGTGATTCAGGTACATGTGAAAGATTTGAGAAGCACTGACCTAGAGAAATGCATGTGGAGACTGGCAATGTGACAAGCAGTTACTCTTTGGGGTCACCACAGTGATAGTAATGTGATATAACTGAAGTATGTACCAGAAACTTCCAGAGTCTAATATTAAAATCACCACCACCACAACAGAAACAGTGAATTCTAAGTGGATATTTGGTAAATGAAATTTGTTTTCCTTAAGCATTATTTATAAAATTGGCTTAGTTTCATTTCTGTCATTGTTGTTCACTGTAATCTCTGTAAGAGCATATACTGTTATACTAATTTATGCATGTAGGAAGGAAAGACAGTGAATTCATGATAGCTATCTCATATTGGGAACAACTTGCATTGAATCCTATGTTTAGTTAGGACTCATTCAATGTAAGGGTTTCTGAGAGTGGCCATTTGGACCATTGTGTCTTCAGATCAGGTACAGAAAGCTGCCTGGTTGGAGCTCCTATGTTAATCAGGATCCTCCTCTTGAATAAGAAGGAACAGCTAGTTGCTGGAATTTGAAATACAAGACTTCAACTACTTGTTTGCAGGCAGTAATATCATGTTTCCCCAAACTACTGTTCAAAGAGAAAACCTGCCTACTACTGTGTCTTACTGGCTTTATAGTAGCAGATGTTAGTGGTTACGTTAAGGACAGTTTCTGGGAGCTCTTGTCTCCGTTTACTCCAACTGCTTCCTGTTCATCTTTAGTCGTGTGTGTGTGTGTGTGTGTGTGTGTGTGTGTGTGTGTGTGTGTCTGTGTGTCTGTGTGTCTATGGCTTGGCAGAAACTTAAAAGACAAGGTTTGATGGGTATAATATATAAATGGAAATCGTGGTGATTTTTTAAAATGACAGCTTAGAAAATGGTAACAGTATGTAGTTGCTAGCACATGAACCATGTAGCCCATGATGCAAGAACAGTCCTTTCTAATTTAATCAGTAATATTATTGCGTGAAAAGTCTTGTTCTCAAGTAGATAGTTTTTCCTGCATCGGAATTATTATTCACAATTTTTGCATTCCCTTGTTTAGAACCAATGATTCTTGATTGTAGAGATTCTTTGCTATATAAAGACTGCTTTTTTCCTTTAAGAAAACACTTAATTTTTCCCAAATTAAGAAACCAAAAAATGCTCTTAATGTGATTTAGTCTTTAAAGCAGACAATGTGTAAACCAAACAGGAATTATATTTTACGTGGGAAGCAAACAAAAATGAACAGAACCTAATTCTCAAATCCACTAATTGAATGCACAATTATGTCATTTTCCCAGCCAGGGAATGGGTCATAATGATAATGGATGAAAACATAAATATGAACAATGTTTTAATAATGGATTCAACTTGCATTTTCTTAAAAACTATTTTTATGATATACTTGTCCATTCTCTTTATTATATTCTTGTGATTTAATGTAGATGAAAATTTTCTAATAAATAACTCAAAAGTTATTGCCTATCAGGGTACTGAAACATGCTTAATACAAAAAGCAATAAGCAATAAGTCTTATTTTCCATGGACTTCCAACCCTATTTGTATTATATAAAATCACAACATATAATAAACAATTTTCTTATGGGGTTGTGGGGCTAACCATCTGAGTTGTGTTTAGACAGAGCTCTCAAGTCTAAAAACATTTCTCTTTATTTCCATTTTTCTTGGAGTTATTTCCAATCCATTTATTTCAATGCTTTGTCATAGATGAGAGAAGATAAAATAAACTTTGGGGTCTGTTGGCAGTGCTCATTAAAAGGAGAAACAAGAAAGAACAAGTAAATCAAGGTTTATAATTTTTCAACAATTGAGTGGTTTCTATTTTCTAATCATGTCACTAACATTGTCAAGGAAAGGTCATGGGAACTGTAATAGAATATGCATTTTCAAAGGCTTACTGGTTGGGTGAATATTTTTTAAAAATTAAGTGCATATACACATGTTGCCATGAGTAATATTACTGTATTACTTAATCGTTAGGAAGAAATGTCCAGTGGTGTAAGTAATACAGACTGTATTACTTAATCGTTAGGAAGAAATGTCCAGTGGTGTTTCAATTAAAGTCAGTCCTTCTTCTCAGCTTACGCATTAATTCAGCTGAACAATTGATTATACAGAACTTTTTTGTTATGGTGGTTGTTGATTACAGCAACTTCCCTATTTAATTAAGTTTAACAAAAACTGAAAAGGTGTATGTTAATATAGCCAACAGAATTATATATTTTTAAAAATTCTGAAAAGCATAGCACTCTACACGTCAAGGTAGAACTAAGGCTGCATTTGCTTTTTGAGCTTTTTAAATCTCCTATTTTATAAAGTATATGTGGATGCTTACAAGATACCAAAGTAAATGATTGAGAAGGAAAATATTATCATTATTAATCTACATAATACGACTTGTTAAACTAATTCATTGTCTAATTTGTCCACTTGCATTTGTGTAGATTAGGCACAATTTGTGTATGTGCACATATTATTACATTCCTCAGAGTGTTTGTAAATATTGTGTTTTGGGTTACTTTGTGGTATGACCATGTATGTAAACAGAATATAATAAGTCAGTTTGCCAAATGAGAAAATATTCATTGTGCATTACGTTTTTAAAATTGAGTTTCTTTTTCCAGCACAATCAGAGACATTTAAAAATAGCATTTCAAAAAAAATAGTATTTTAAATATTATTTGAAGCAGGAGAAGCTACAACTACAAAGCACAGAAATTAGTCACACCTTTTATTCTATTCCTATTTAATAAGCTATAGATATATTTATTTCTTCCCTAACACAACCTAAAAAGAAAAGAAAACATTCTTAAACCATAGCAATTTAAAATAAAACGACACAGTAGGAATGAAATGAAAGACAATTCAATAGCCTTTATAGCTATAAAGTGATACAATCTCTAAAGGTTTTACTCTTTAAATTATTCAAGATGTCTAAATTTCTGCTGCCATAATATTTTTTCACAACTGGAATAGAAATGGCATTTCGCTCACGTAGATCTAGCTGTCCCCTGGGTGGTTGATTCTAGAAAAGCAACAGGCTTTTCCCCCTGTCTTACAAGAAGCAACAGTTAGAAACTCTAAGGCGCAAACTGCTACCCACAGTGGACAGAAACAGCCGACAGGAAAGTGGCAGCTATTTCAATTGATTTTGCAGCAGCTTCCAAAACGAGAGGGAAACTATAAATGAAAGAAGACCCCTTGGAAATGAAAGGACTGTGCTATGTTACTGTCGCCCCCTCTCCCTTCCAACGTCCCTTAAATTATCAAGCTTTTTAGACATGCGTAGATTTCTAGAGTAAAGTGAAGCAGTATAACTGGACCCATTTTGTTTCAAGTTAAATTTGCAAGATGCAGCAAGACAAATTCATAACCTCGGGCACTTTTCCTATTAGCAAGCATGGGCTGTCGTCTCAGCCTGTTGCTCCCGCCACACGGTGTGCCTGGACCCGGGGGGAGGGACACTTTGGAACCTCGAGTGTGCGCTGGGCGGCGGGGCCTCGGTGCCTCCGGCCTTGCCGACTGCGAAGGCCACGGGGATTGCCCGGGCCGCGCCTGGGGAGGTGATGGCTGCCGACCACCGGCCGGGGGACCCCAGTGCAGGCAGCCCGGCTGCCGGCAGATGGTGCCCTCCTCATCCGAACACGCAGGGAAACCCAGCTAAAGTAACGCTCAGACTCCGCCCCAGCCCATCTACGGCGCAACAGTCACCCGTCCTTCCCAAAATAGAGCCGAGCACGTTTCCCCCGGAACACCGCAGTAGCCCGTGTGTGTCGAAATTACAAACCAGGGCTGACCGGGCGTGTGTGCCGGAGTGGGGAGCGCGTGCGGAGTGGGATCCCCGGGGCCAGGGGCGAGGTGACCGCCAGCGAAACGCAGAGGGCACGGGGACCGGTCCATTTCGCTTCTGCGTAAGCCGGACCGCCGGGCCCGTCGGGAGGCCACTCACCATATTCACTTCGGAGACCATGTCTATGCTGGCGACATCGATCCGCATCCCGACGTCCACCGGGGGGCCTGCCGGGGAGGTGGGCCACGTTAGGGACAGATTCTCCGAGTGACAGCGGACTGGGGGGTAGAAGGGGGCTTCCAAGCCCTTACTCCATTCTGAACGGGCTCCCTCCCTACTCCCCCCACCGCCCCTTTCAGGGGACAGCCTGGGAAAACAGGTGTGGGCACACGCGTGATGCAGTGACTATGCAGAGGGTGTGTCGGCCCGGGAAAGGTCGCCTCTGCCTGCGGATCCATCCACTTGAGCCTGGGGTCCCGGTGTGTGTGTGTGAGTGTGTGTGTGTGTCTGTGTCCAGGGCATAGTGCACGCTTACGAAAATGACATGCTTTTTTTTTTTTTTTTTTTTTTTTTTTTTTTTTTTTTTTTCTTTTTTGACATTTATCTTTGACAGAAAAGGAGAACTAGGGATGGGTTACAGGTTGAAAAAGATGAAGCGTTACCTCCGAAGTCCGGCCGCAAGCGAATGTCATATCCTTTGAGCAATCTGTCCACTGTCTCTTTCACGTATGACATGTTGCTGGGTTCATTGGCACTGAAGGGAAGAAGTAAGGACCGTATTCAAAACGAGCACAAACCGTGAGCACATATAAAAAGATACAGGCACACCTACCCCCAAATAACAAGATACATGATCCAGCAGGCACGTAAAAAGAAACATACCAAGAAAAAAGAGAAAGATTAAACAACAGCAGCTCACCTGTGTGCACAACAGACCATGGTAATCATCACAGGGAAAGAAAGAAGCCCCAAACTCTCTCGATTTTGTGCTGTCCACATTACTAACTCTGATTAAAGAATTGTCTTTTCTGCGAAGATTCAAGGAATGCAACTTAGTCGGCTGCTGGGCAGTAATTCCCGAATGGACCTGCGCATGCGCAGAGGGGGCTCACTACCAAAAGACACCTTGTGCCTTGCAAACAATATTCCTAGTGGAACAGGCAACAGATTTCAGTCCTTCTAAAGTTCCTTTTTGGGGTGCTCCGTGTCCTCCGGATAGTCAGAGACAAGCTGCTGTTATCACGCAGGGAATCCTACGAGCAAGTGTAAGCGGAGTTTCCTTCATCCACTGGAGGTTGCAGTACTGATTTCCTTTCAGCCCCCAACCTGATTTTGGTTTTTTACTGGGCTCTCAGTGATTTGGCTAAGGCTGCCTGTGATTGGCATCTTTCGTTGACAGTCAGGGAGGTCCCAGAACAGGGATTCTGGAGGCGGATCTCTTGTTCTCTGTTTGCCCGTGGCGGTACCAGGCGGATGTGGTCAGCAGGGGTTGAGGGTGGGGGTGACTGGGAGCTGGGGAGAGTGGAGAGAGAGGGAGCCAGAGTGTTATGAAAGGTACAGAGGAACTCAGGACGTATTTGAGAACTCCAAAAATCAGGTGCCCTTGGGAGGCATCCTAGGACATCTGGCTTGGTGTAGACTTCTGTAGGAGGCGGAGTAGGAGAGGCAAGCCAACTTTTCTTCCACCCCACTTTTCTTCCCTCCGCTTGTAGTTTCTCTCCCAGGTTGGGAAATGAGGGAAACAAAGGATGGGGCAGCAGTTCTTGGCAGGGAGTCTTTTTTTCTGGGGCCATCAGCTGCAAGCCTCACTTTTTCTTCCAGGTTTTAGTAAGAAAAATCTCTTTCTTAAATTGACAGCATACAAGCTGGTATTTGTGACCCCTAACAGAACCCTGAAACATCCAGACAATCTAACCTCTGTTTGCCAGTAGGTTGGGATTCTGCAGGAGCAAGCAGTTTTGAATAAAATCAAATATAGTAACTTCGATTATACAAATGTCATTGAGCACATGTTAAGCAGAAGGCCCTGGGCTTGGTGTCTGTTCATTTGTTAAATAGCACGTATTAAATCTATGTTGTAGGCATTCTGGGACTTATAACTGCTTCAAAAAGGGTTCCTGAGCTAGAAAAATTCACATCTAATGAAGAGGGATAGACACAAGTATAAGGAAATTCAGTGTATCTCTAGAGAGTTTGTGTAGTGACAGGAGTGTTGGTAATTCTACCAGGGAGACGTTTCCAGACAAGGAGTAATTTGAAAAAGGGGAAAGCTTTTTGCCAGAGCAGGGAGGATGGGGCATTCCAGAAAGAGGGACACCGTGCCAAATCCAGTCTACTTAGATAACTAAACCCAGAAATGACTGGTCAGATTATAAAGGCAGGGAGAGAAGGTAGGTGATGAGAGTGCAAAGGGAAGTTGAGGTTGGCAATCACTGAAATGTCTCAGTAAGGATGATGAGGAGGGTCAGATTTAGGCTTTAGAACTCACTGGTAAAATAATTATAGCAACAATCAACATTTATCATTGGCTGGCTAGGTGGCAGGTATTGTGCACATTACATAGATTATCCGATTTAAACCTTAGAACAGCCCAAAAGTTCTATATATGATTATTATTCCCATTTTATAGATGAGGATACTAAGACTAAATTGACTAGTTTAATATCAAATAGCTAATACATGGTAGAATCTGCATTTCAATCAATATTCTATAGATTTAACTACTGCTGTATGTTGTGAAGCATGGACTCAAAGAAGAAGAACCAGATAACAAAACAAGAAGGAAAAGGATTATTAAAATATCCCAGGTAAAAGGAACTAAAGTCAGAAAGTGTTTAGCATAAAGAGGAGATGATAGACTAGCTCAAGCCTTCAGAAATTTAATGGAGAAATTGAATAGTTGGATGGGTCAGGATTTGGGGACATTTGGAGGGTACCTAAAAATTGTATAACCACTTATACATGTATAGAGCTTGATATTCTACAAATACATTAATTTTATTTTATAATTTGAGCCTCACAGAACCTTAAATACTGGGGCCATTCCTTATGGGAAAGAATGCTAACTACTAATTAGATTCCTTTATTTTCTTAAAAGGATATCAACTCTACCTTGTATAATTCATATGTATCTGCTTTTATGGGGTAAAGAGAGGCCTATTTATGTTTTAGATCCTTGCTGAAGCATGGAACCCCTCTGTGCTGCGTGATTCTCTGCAAAAGTCACACCGTAGAAAGCAGGATACATGAAGCTTTACTTCATTCATTTCCTCACTTGTTTATTCCCCAAATATGTATTGAACACTTACTAGGTTCCAGATATTAGGCAAAAAGCTGGTGATACAACAGTGGACAATACAGTGTCCCTTTTCACATAGAATTTGTCGATTTTTACATGTGTTTGTGGTTGCTAATTAGCCTTGCTACTCAAATTCAATTAATAAAAAGCATTCCACCAAGTATTTGTTTCATATAGTTTCTATTGGGATATATGTTTTCCATTTGCTCGTAAACCCCAATAATTATTTTTGAATAACAACTAGGATTTTATTCAGCAGGGTCTGCTGAAGAGCCAACATTTTAATCTTAAATTAAGAAAGACTATCTGCAACTTTGTAGACTTGAATCCTATTGTTTAGCATGCCCCAGTGAATCAATTCCACTGAATTTTGCTTTGAAATTATGCTTTACATTTACCTGAAAGAACAGTAAAAGTCATAAGATATTCATTATCACATACATTTGTTACTGAGATGCTACAGAAGGTGAAGCCCACTCTATCACTTGGTATCTTATATACAAGAAATGTTGAGAGGATATTTTTTTCAGACCTCAGTACTCTGAAAATTGTCTTATTGTTTGAATAGCTTATCTTATGAACAATAGAAACCATAAAATTAATTAAATTCTCTACTTACTTTGGCTACCGAAGATGTCAGAGTCTTGTGTACAACTCAGTTTTAGTCATTTTGTAAGATATGAATGACCTGTATCTTGATATATTACATTTCTCTACAATGCCTTCGATTTCTAAGTTTATTTTTTCTTTGTCACAGTTTACTAATTTAAAAACAGATATGTTGCAGTGAATATATATATAGTTTGTAAGCTGTCTTGAATAACCTTGGAACTAAATGGGAACTAAATTATTTCAAAATTATTAAAAACATAAATAATTGAACTTAAAAAAATTTCTCAATCTTGATGCATTGTGGGAAATTTTATGACTTAAATAAGCCAAAACATTTTTTTTCTGTGAAATTGTTTTTTCCTCAAGTCAGTCCTCTTACTTAAGACTTTTCTTCCTTCAAAGCTCAATTTAAATTTATATATATATATATATATATATATACATATATATGTGTGTGTGTGATATATGTTAAATGTAGTATGTCATATATATATAAAAAGAAAATTAAATATATACCATAAAAAATAAATATATATCTATTTGTTAAAGCTATCCCTTGAAAGCCACCAGTAATTCCTACTCCCATTATCATCTGCTGTTTACTCTTATGAGAGAAATAGGGGAAGTCTAAAAGTTCACTTCTGACTAGGTTGGAAGTGTCTCAGGGTCAAGAACCTACACATATTCTTAGTATTTCCCTACAGAGCAGTTAGCAAACAAGAAGACATAATAGAAAAATCATTCCATTACAATAAAAACAATAAATTCTAATGTACCTCGGAATAACTGGGGGAAAATATGCACAAGAACTTCATAGTGAAATATACAATTTTATTTAAACACACAAAATAAGACCTAGATAAATGGAAAATGTATCATATGGGTAGGTGGGAGGACTCAACATTGTAAGGATGTCAAATCTATCCAATGTAAGAAATGTAACCAATTTGAATCAAAATTTCTACATTCAAAATGGAAATGAAGAAACTAATCCCAAATTTAAATACAAGAATGAGGGGTAAATAAAAGCAAAGAAAACTTAGAAGAAGAAAAAAAGAGAAGGAATATGGGGGCATATGCCTTTGAGATATCATGACTTATTGAGCAATACAGAAATTGAATCAGTTTGTCTTTGGCATGGAATTCATGTAGGGATAAAAAGCAAAATAGTACAAGCAAATAAAGAGCACAAAAATAATTCTCTATTCTAGGAAAAGCAGGAAAAGATGAGCTATTCAATAAATGCTGTGAGACAGTTTATTATCTATAAGGGAAAAAAGTAGATCTTTACATCGTTACCTACATGAAAACATATTACAGGTAGATTGTAATTTTAATACAAAAACAAAAATTTTCAAAACTTTAAACTATATAGGAGAATATCTTTATGACTGTGATGAAAGGAAAGACCTAAAGATGAACAAAAGTATAAATGATAAAAACTATTATAGCAATAACTATGTTAAAATGTAACCTTCTTTAAATCCAAAGATTCTTCTGAAAAGCCAAGTTACACATAGAAAGAACATGTTTTCAGCAAATTTAACCATCAAAGGATTTGTATAAAGAAATTACTGGGAAAAAAATCTTCTACAAATAAATAAGAAAAAAAGATCAAAAGCCACTCTAAATAAGGAATTGCAAATTAAAGCAATTGTATACTATTTTAAATTCATCAGATAAACAAAACTTTTAAGAGTATTAAAAATTGGCTTTTAAAACTCCATATATTTTCAATAGACATATAAATTAATCTGAACACTTTGTGCAGCTCTTTGGACATACTAGGAAAGTGAAAGCTGCCCAAGCCCTTTGTCCCAGCATTTCTACCACTCAGAATATACCCTCGTGATAAACTCATGAAGTCTAAGAATGTTCATGGCAGTGTTGTTTTTAGTAGAGCAAAACCGGAAACAATTTTTATTAATTGGAAATAAATAGTATAATCACACAATGAAATACAACACTCAAAGTAGGTGAACATCTACATGCTTCACACAGATAAATCTCAAAAGTAAAACATTAAGCAAAAACGAAACAAGAGCAAGGTGCAGGGTGACACAATGAGCCATTATAACATAAATTTTAAGAAATTTAAGTATAAAACCCAGAATAGAATACATATTATATATATTACATAATATATAATATGTATATAATCATGTTGTATATA